GAATAAACAAATAGAAATTATTCAGCTGTGACAAGGAGGGAATTCTGACTCATGTCAACACAGATGAGCCGTGAGGACCTTAAGCTAAGTGAAACAAACCAGAACCTGGTAGAGATGAGTACCCCCAACACCAAGACTACAGTTTCTAAACACTATTCTCCACAAAAAGGAACCCAGAGACTTTGGGGAAATGGCTGCTTCTAGGGCAAGAAATGTACAAGAGGGTCCTGGGACATCTTGTTGAGCCAGAAAATAAGAACACTATTTGAAGACAAATGGTTTGGCCAAAGGACATGGGAGCCAAAATGAATGGACTCCCGTTAGCTGAAGATTCGGCAATTTGAGCAAGGAAAATAATAACGATCGTAACTGATTGAAACACATAAATCCATCCAAAACATATAAAATCTATGTGCACATATATAACTGATTGAAACACATAAATATATCCAAAACATATAAAATCTATGTGCACATGTATAACTGATTGAAACATGTAGATTTGTGTGTTTCAATCAGTTACATATGTGCACACAGATTTATATGTTTTGGATGGATTTCTGTGTTTCATAATAACATAATAAATTTCATTTCATAATAACGCTAATAAAATATTCACAAGAACACGAGTAGACATAATAACACAAATACAGTGCCCATCAGTGTTCAACAGTAGTATTCATAATAACACCAGTAAGCATAATTACCCTACTACAGTGTCCATCATAACACGCATGAAAAAACAAGGGAACAAAACAATGTCAGTCACCACTGAAGGATGCTAGGGCCCCAATTCATGACTGAGAAAACCAGCAAAGGGAAAAAGTTAATCACGGATCCTGCCTTTTCTGTACAAACTCTATTTCAGGGTAACCAAATAGCTGATGAGGTAAAAATTCTTTTTATAGAAGAATTCTGGCAAATATATTCAGAGGAACGATAGAATGAGAACAAATTAAATAAAGTGATCTTAAGCAACCATCACTAGCAGATGCCAAACCATATTCAAAATGTTGACGGCGAATTTATCCCAGATGAATCAGGCTGACATCAGAATCCACCGTTGGTTGGATCTTGGCCCTGCTAGCTTTCAGACCCCTAGATCCAACCTCTAGCTCAGAGGAAACAGTGCAGGAGGAAAACAAATCAATTGCCACCATGAAAAAGCAATCAGCCAAATCTAGTATGGGGGAATCTTATAGGACAAATGAGCCAGTCCCTTTAACAAACAAATGAGATGGGGGGATGGGGAATCTGTTGCAAAATGAAAGAGACTTTAAAACATGAACAACCCAGGTGCCTGGGTGGCTCAGTGGGTTAAAGCCTCTGCCTTCGGCTTAGGTCATGGTCCCAGGGTCCTGGGATCGAGGCCCGCATCGGGCTCTCTGCTTGGCGGGGAGCCTGCTTCCTCCTCTCTCTCTGACTGCCTCTCTGCCTACTTGTGATCTCTCTCTCTGTCAAATAAATAAATAAAATCTTTAAAAAAAAAAAAAAAAACATGAACAACCCAACGTGATGTGTGGACCCATCTGGATCCTGGCGTCCAGAACATGTTCCCTGCTCGCAACTTGCCCTGCAGGTCTTCCGGGTTAAAATGTGCAGTTGGGAAGATATATTCTGCTTTTCTCTTGGCTTCATTAGAGCTGAAGACATCTAGTACAGCCTCAGTCTGACCTCAGCTACTGACAGTAATAAATAAGTGAGCCTCTGTATCGGGCCGGTTCACACGGGACTCCCCCAGCCCAAGACTCTAAGAGTCGCCTCATCTGGCACTGACCATCCCAAGGCTCTCAGCTCAGCATCCCTGACCCCCAGGAGCCGAGGGTGCCTAGGACGTGAAATCTCAGGTCCTCTCCCCTGCCTGACTACATACACTTCCTGCCACATTTGTGTTGATGTGGCCGCACCCGGGTTGGTAAGAAACAGTCTGGGAGGCAGCCCCTTAATGGGTAGTCAGAAACAGAGCTGTCACCCTCTTGTCTCTAACATACACCGCCTTCCTTGGCAAAGCCTGGAGAGAGAAAACCGGACCAGCATCTCTTTTACTCTACCTTTCGTCTTCCCACCATTCCCTTGACCAGAAAGTGGTGAGTCTCTCATCTAATCACCCTGTGTCTTCACCTCCTGCTTCAATGGATGGACAGCTGCTTATAGGTAACGGGGTGTCCTTCCTCCACTCCAGAGAATTCTCTGAGATGGTTCTTTCATGCTGAGATTCTGATACTCTAACGGGGAGGTGAAGGACTACGAAACATTCTTTCTCGTGATGATAGTCTTTCCTGCTACATAATCCTAAACTTCATGTAGAAGTGGAATGTTAGTATATTTTGTTCTTTAAATTCCTTCTGTAGCAAATCCTAATCTCCCAAGCATATGAACACCTTGGCCTAGCAGAGCAAAGAACACGTGCTCACAAATTAATAATATTCAGATTACTGGGCGCCTGAGCGGCTCAGTCAGTTAAGCATCTGTTTTCAATTCAGGTCATGATCCCAAGGTTCTGGGATCAAGCCCTGCATAAGGCTCCCTGCTCAGCGGGGAGCCTGCTTCTCCCCCTGACTGCTGCTCCCCCTGCTTGTGCTCTGTCAAATACATAAATAAAGTCTTAAAATAAAAAAAAAAAGAAGCACTCAGATTACTACCCTTACACACACACACACACACACACACACACACACACACACACTTAATTGGAATTATAATATGCATATTTTAAGTTCTATATTTTCAGGTATACAAATAATAAGTAACATAGCCTCATCATAAAAAAATACAATTTGCAGGGCACCTGGGTGGCTCAGTGGGTTAAGCCTCTGCCTTCAGCTCAGGTCATGATCTCAGGATCCTGGGATCGAGCCCCGCATCGGGCTCTCTGCTCAGCAGGGAGCCTGCTTCCTCCTCTCTCTGCCTGCCTCTCTACCTGCTTGTGATCTCTCTCTCTCTCTCTGTCAAATAAATAAATAAAATCTTCAAAAAAACCCCAAAAAAACCAATTCGCCCACTGTTTTATAACTTACTTTTGCCATTTCAAAACATAGCTGTGTGTCCTTACCATTTTCCCATGTAATTTTTGAATTACATGCTTAAATATGCTTTTCAATACCTGAATGGTATTCCATTGCCCAGGATACCTTTACACACTTAACCAATCTTTACCTTATCCACTTTATCAGGTAGTGACATTGTTTCCAACTGAATTGGAATGGACAGCCCACCCCCCCAACCATCATTTTTTGGGGGGAATAAAGTTGAAGAGGTAGAATGATTGAGTTCAAGAATACAAATGCTTTTAATGAAAGACGTTACAAACGACCGAATAAGCCTCAGAAAAGTCATAGCATTTTTTAGGTCTACCAGCAGTCTGCGATGCTGCCCACTTCTACATACTTTCTCTAAGTTTACAATTTATAATCTTAAAATTATACATTTTTAAATATTTTATCTTAAAACATCTTTAACTGGCAAACAAATACTGGTTTAAGTTTTCATTTCCTTGAGTACTTGTGAGACTGAAAACTTGTTCATGTTTCAAATATGTATTGGCCATTTGTATTTATTACTTCAAATGGTATCTTCAGACGAGGAAATGGGGTTCAGAGAGGTTAAGCAACTTGCTCAAGGACACACAGTTTCTACGAAGCAGATAAATATATATATGTATGTATGTATTATATATTCTGAAATGAAACAGAATTGCTCTTCAGTTTGTCAAAGCAAGCAATAAAGCCTGTGGGGAAAGTTCTGTTCCATTCAGCCTGCAAGGACATCTAAATAATATATAAATCTCTTCAGGCCCAATCATCGTTATAAAATATTACTTGGAGAATTATGGTGAAGATTTAATGAATTATAGCTCTTTCACCTTTTAATTTGTAATTGCAAGATGAATTAAATAAGGAAGAGATTGCTAAAAAGATTGAATACGCTGACAGCATCCTTCTTTCCATCCATCCGTCATGAATGGCTATGCGGCGGTAGATGCTGAAGGAGACTCTGGTACCCCATGACCTCCTTCTTCCCATTACCACAGCATGAGGACAAAGCAACAAACTGCATATGTTTTATGATGGTAGACCAAAACAAGCCTACTATTTCTGGAGGTGATCAGAAGCTGATGCCTTACTTTTTGCCCCAGAATGCTTTTCACTTCTGTCCCAGTAATATATAAGCCAATGCTGTCACCTGATGATATAACCTTGTATGGCAAAGTCAAAGTCTCTTTCCTTTCGTAACAAGAGAGTCCATGACTCAACAACTGAGGATGAAAAAAAAGAAAGAAACAAGAGCAGTAAAAGAAATGCCAGAGTTGCTTAAATGTTTGGGGGAAAACAAAAGCACACTGACAAAATGTAATGTATTAAGACATGGCCAAAGATTTGTATCAGCAGGGTTGAAGGTATCTGAGGGGTCTGGGAAAAAGGAGATGTTAACACCTATTGGAGGGGGGAAACCCTACAAATTCCTTCTACTTGGCTTTAAGGTCTTAGCCCAGGAGAGTGAAGTTCCTGTTCTAAGACCTGAGAGGTCAAGTTCCCCTCAGAGAGAGCTTACAAGAGAAACGTCTCTTAACTTTTGTCCAGTTTGAGATCATGTGCATTCATGACGATCATAGACAATGAAAATTTAAAAAATAAATCTAAAGCCCTAAGTCTCCTATCTCCCCCCAAAGTGATGCTTACTACCTGTAAGTAGTGCTTATCTCAGGCAGATATATCATAGAATAAGGGGTCAGTAGTAGCCACAGAAAGTGAATTCAGGAGTTCAGCCACCAAAATGCAGGCAGGTTCCACCTGAGAACAGCACTTCAAGACACCCTAATGTCCCCTGGATTCGAAAGGATGGACTCCTGAAGATCTTGCATAAAGTAACTCAAGTCATTTCCCCTAACAATTCTGTGTCTGTTGCTCATATAAGAGGCGGTCCATTCACCTTGAGCCAGACCACCTAGTTCACCTTGATTTTCCTCTTACCAACCAAGGGAACTGAAGGAATTTCCTTACCTTCTATGTGCCCCAGATGCCTCAGCTGTAAGACGAAGATGTTAATGACACACAGTATCTCATCTGATTCTTCCAGCAGTTCCACGAGGTAGAACACCAGTCCCTACGGCATTCAGCTGTTGGGAGGATCAAGGGAGATAATGTGTGCAAAGTGGTGAGAAAGGTGCCTGACACAAGGCAAGAGCATTATATCTGCTTATTAATTATTTTTTATTGCCACCTAAAGTGGGACCGCCAAGGAGCAACGGCATGAATGCAGTTTATAATTCTCTTGGCCTACCTGCTTTGAACTTTGGAGATTCTTGACTCTTACATTTAATTTAGGAGATTTTTATTACTTCAAAATGAGTGTATACATGTTGGCTTTATTCATCTTTTTATATTGCACTATTTTTAAATTGCATAATTTAAATAAGCATAAAGCCAGTTACATACTCTATGCAGTCTTAGGTGTGAAAATGCAGTAGATTTAGGGTCCATGGCAACTTTAAACAGCAATTACTCTTGATAAAAATGCCAGGGTTCTTGTGGGTCTGACGTCAGGAGGCGTTCCCAACAGGCAGGCCACAGGTGAGAGGGAGTAAAAGGCACCTGCTCTCATTATCTCCAAGTACAACTGGGGATGGTGCCTGCTGTATGCCAGGCACTAAGTCTTTTAAAAACATTGTATTCAACTCTTACCATACCCCCGTGAGAGAAATAATATTAATGCCTCCATTTTACAGATGTAGAAACCGAGACAAAGAAATTTAAGCAATTTGCCCAAAGTTACCCAGCTGGTAAGTGGTGGTACTGGGATTTAAACCTAAACAACCTACGCATAAAACCCAGGTGTGGTTGTTCTATTAGACGTCAAAAAGTTGTGATGTACAAAGTTCATCTTAGTCCTTCCACTTTTTTCTCTCTTTAGGGCCCATTTCTCTCTTCAATACAACCCTACCCACAACTGTAATGGGCATGAGGATGCTCACGGGAAACACTTGGGAAAATACACAAAGATAGAAAGCAGAAAGATTCAAACACGTTATTATATCACCCAAAGACAACCACTGTTAAAAATTTGGTGTATTTCCTTCTGGACTTCTTTTTTCCTAAGTATAAGGTTTTGTTTTCTATGTTTGCTTTACATAGTTGTGACCAAACTTGTGGTCACTTGTATGCACTTGTATGCACAATGTAATCTTTTTTTCCCCTTTTTCCCCTTTCCCTTTTTTCCCCTAATATCATAACATAAGCTATCTCATGCAATTAAAAATTTCACAAACTTCCTTTCTATAGGCTGCATAATGTACTACTGCACGACAACTTCATAATATATTTGCCATTCCTTTCCTGAGTACTTCCCAGCTTTTTGTGTGTTGGGGGGGGGTAGCTATCTCTGTCCCCTTTTTCTTGATAGTTTCCCTCCTTCTGACATTTTCTCAGATCCTGCTCAGGCACAAAGTGACCTTGATACCCCTCTATCCTTCCTGCTCTCAAAATTTAGTTTCTGGAGAAAAACTGATAAAGTCATTCATATTAAAGTGTACCTGGTTCTTAAAGCTGAATTATAATCTCTTCGAGAAGGCTTGCATCAATTTCAGCCAAAGGAATGAAGCTCTAATTGTGGGGTCTTAGTCATCAGATAATCCAATTGGGGAGCTCCCCCACCCTCCCCATTCAGAGAGTAACCTCCACAATAGAAAAAAAAAAAAAAAGTGCAGATCTTACTTAAGGTTAGGAAAGCTGACAGGAAGGCAGCCTAGAGCTGCGGAGGTGGTGGTGTGGGAAAGGAAAGGAAAGAGTTTGTGTAAGTGACGGTGAAATAATGGGGTAGAAAAATTGAAGAGAACTAGAAAATTCACTTAGGCTCGCGTAATGTATTTGGCACCACTTACCTAGTTTCTCCAACTCCCCCGTTTGCCTTCCCAGTGCATTTGGACTTAGGAATGGGCCCTCCCACCTTCACCCAGCACCGCTCCGCCGGGTGCTCACACCTAGTTACTCTGCCAAGTCTCACAGTTGGGGGGCCTTCGGCGGCCACAGAGCCACTCAAGTTTCTAAGAGGGCCCATTGCAAGCCCTGTGTCCACAGGCCGTCCTACTGGTGCTTCCCCTCCTACTACCCCGGGAAAGAATTAATAATGGGGGGCGGGGGGGTTAGGGGTTTGAGCTCACCAAGTCCTGCTCTGCCTCCCCCGACTCCCCAGCCGTCTCTCTCCTCCGCTAGGGGCTTCAGGCGTTCTAGACGGCTGCGGCCGGGAGCAAAGGGCACCCACGGCAGAGCTGTCCCCTCACCTCTCCCCACCCGCGAGGGCTCCGCGGCGCCCGGGGGCAGGCGTGTGCAACGCGGAGGGCAGCGGGTGTGCAGGCGCACGGCCCGACCACAGCGGCTCCGCCCATTTGGGCTCCACGAGGAGGAAACCCCAAATCCGAAAAGCTGGTCTGGCAGGACAAAAAAAAAAAAAAAAACAGCGAGCGACTCCAGGTGAAGGCTGGCGGGGCGTGGGGCTGCGGGCCCCCGGCGCGCACGGCGCACGCCCCCACGCGCCCGCCGCCCGCCGCTCCTCCCCCCTTCCTCGCTGGTTGGCCCCGCGCTGCAGAGCTCGGCGGCGGCAGGAGGAGCCGGGCGCGCCCAACGCGCACTGCCGGCGCGGTGGCCCGGGCGACAGGCGCGGCGCGCGGTCTCAGGTGACAGCGGCGGTGACAGCGACAGCAGCGGCCCGCGCGCACCCGCCTCCCGCCCCCGCCGCGCCGCCTCCACCGGTCCCCGCGCTCACGGCCGAGCTCCGCGCACAATAGCGGCGGCCGCTCCCGGCCCCGGCGCCCGCCATGGGGAAGCCGGCGAGGAAGGGATGCGACTGCAAGCGCTTCCTGAGGAACAACTGGCTGCTGCTGTCCACCGTGGCCGCGGTGGTGCTCGGTGAGCGGCTTGGCGGGTGGGCGAGGCGCGCGCCCTCACGCGCTCCCAGCGCCCAGGCCGCGTGCGGGGCCGGCGGCTGCGAGGGTGGGCGAGGCGCGGCGGGTGCACTTCGTCGGCCTCGGAGCCACGCGGGGGCTTCCCCGCGGGGGTGCCGATGTCTGCGTGCGAAGAACAAAGCTCCTCGGGGACTCCGATTTCGGTGCTCCACGAGCTGCGGGTTGCTGCTTTACCCAAAACGACCAGAGGGGCTTGGAAGGGGAAGGCGAAGCTCCTGGTCCTTCCCGTTGGGAAGCAGACACGGTTTATTATTGGGTTTTCAGTCCTGTGTGCTCCCGCGCGCCCCCCACCCCATTTTTTTCCAGAACCGTGCTGCCTGGACAGGGATCGAGTGCGGATAGGGCCCTCGGTCCTAGGTTGGACTGGCAGAGGCACCTTAGCCCCAGGGGTGGCCGGGCCCCCGAGGGGAGGGAGGTAGAGGGTGTTGCCGCTCACCCTGGGCCAAATTCTTGCCCGAACTCAGGTGTGTGCAGTTATGGCCCGCAGGAGGTCACTGGGGAAGGAGAGCTAAGAGAACTCATATTTCTTCCTTTCCCACCCTGGTAACCTGCCAAAATAGCATCCTGGAGTCTCCTCGCTCTCCACATTGTTGTTCTATTGAAAATAATTTTGAGTCCTATTTGCGTGTTTTTAAACAAGGGTGTATTTAAATGATTCACTCCTGACATTACTGGACTAAGCGGATGTCTGAGCCATTGCTCAGAGGTAGGAGTTGTTCCGATTTCGATTATGAATTTCTGCCAGTTTGCCTGTCTTAGCACTGGGGCTCTGGAATGCACTCCTTTGGGGCTGGAGTCCGTCTCCTTTTTTCTCCTTGAGCTCACACAGGTGGGGACAGCCGGCAGGTGAGATTCCTCTGAAGTCCCCATCTTCCCTCTGGAAACAGCACCTGGGTTTGCTGAAAAAGGGATGGGGTGTCAGCCTCCGGACCTCCTGCACCTTCTCCAGGGATTTCTAAATCTCAGAATATTGGGCATTGCCTATCCGTACTCTTGATGCCCTACCCCCCCCCCCCCCCCAAAAAAACCTGTGGAAGTTAACGGAATCCTCAGAGTCAGATTTGCTCCTCCAGAACCTTGTGCAAAATAAAGTCAGTTTTCGAGTAAAGAAATAACATCTTGGAATTGCTTTAGCAGAAGCCATTTGTGGGAGGCAAGGAAAGAAGTAGAGAAGAAAGTCTTTCTTATCTGTTTAACTCTGTTTCCCCCAAGGGCTAAGTGGGCTTAGGGGGTTTTAGGGAAGGTTTATCCTGCCTTCACTACATTTAAATAATATACCACAGAGAGTGATTTGATTTCCCTGTATCCAAACCGATGAAATGGCCTTGTTGGTTTTCCCTAGTGATAAGCATCCAGAATTAATTGTTAAGCCCTTTTTAAGGATAGTTACTGGGTAACTTAGGTCAGCATTTCCTCCTAATTCCTGGTAAAAGTGGAACAATGCTGCCTTTTTAGCCTCAGAGTTCTCCAAGAATACTCACCTGTTAACCAAGTGTTGCATACCACTGTTCAGTGTACCCATTCACTGGAGGCTGGTTTGGAGAGGATTTTGAGCAGTTGTTCCCTGGCCTTTGGAACCTGTGGCAAAAATACAGCTTCAGGGTCAAGAGAGATTACATGCCCATTTTGCAGATCTGGCCTTTGGCATCAGGGCACTTTCCAACAGTTTTTAACCTGGGTGAAGCTTGATTCAGACACTTTTCTCAAGAAAGAGAAACCACCATATAAAAATGTCAAGTGCCCCACTGAGGTCTTTCTGGACATTTGCTCCTCCAGGAACAGCACAGGGCTAGCCTGAGGGTTTCCACTCCTGGTCTGAGAAATGTCAAGCCTGAGCCATCCCCATTGTGCCCATCACAGGCACCTCCCGTGGTCTTCCTTTTTTCTTTCTCTAGAGCACTGGGTCTGAGTGGAAATCATACCTCTCTGTGGAGTACACGAGCTCAATTATTTAACCAGAATGAAATTCCAGTTAACTTACAACAGTGAGGCTGAGTCCATATATAAACTGATAGTAAGTTTATTTTAGAAGTCTTAATTGATACAGAAAGTCACCAGCTCTCTCCAGCAGCCTCCTTTCTAGACCCTTTTAAAGAAAAAACTGTTAAATTTATTATCTCCCCTGACAGAATGTTGTCTTCTGATTATAGCCATCAAAATGTTTGGTCCACCGTCAGAATGTTTGATCCTTGCTATAATTCAGTGGCCCTGACACTTTAAAATATTTTGATTATTGAAATGAGGGACAAAGGTTTTTTTGAGCCCGCTTAAAGCCTCTGTTTTTCAAGACCTAGGATATGGGAGGAAATGCAGTTAAAGAGATTTTTTTTTTTTTAACAAAAATATGGGAAGGATTAACCATTTTGTTTCATGCCCCATAGCCTGGATCTCAATTCATTGAACGGGCAGAAATTCTAAGGGTAGATGTTTTTGTGCTCCAGCTGGGAATTCTGTCCAAACAGAATCACTGTGTGTAAAAATTCTGTGTCTCAGCATTCTGATTCAAGTGACCCAGTGACGATCATTATGTGTACAAATCTTCCTCAACTTGGGATGGGGTTAGGTCCCCATAAGCCCATGGGAAGTTGGAAATATCAAATATCATAATTCAAAAAATGCATTTGATACATCTGACCTGCTGAACAGCATGGCTTAGCCTGGTCAGCCTTAAATGTGCTCAGAACGTTTACATTAGCATACGGTTGGGCAGAATCATCTCACACGAAGCCTATTTTATAAGGAAGTGTTGAGTATCTCATGTAATCTGTTGAACGCCCTAGAGAGAGAAGGTGAGGAACAGTGGTTGTTGGGTGCAGAATGGTTGTGAGCACATCTGTTGTTTACCCTCTTGATCGCGGGGCTGCCATGCCCAGCGTCACGAGAGAGGACGGCACCACATCTCGCTCACCCAGGGAGATCAAAATTCAAAAATTTGAAGTCTGGTTTCTACTGCACCAGTGTCTCTTTTGCACCGCTGTGAGGCTGAAAAATCATGCCAGGGATGGTGTGTGTCGTGTTGGTAAAGCGCTCGGGGAATCCTCACCCCCGTCACAGCCCAGAGCAGGCGCTTTCTATCCAGGACGTGCCTCATTCCAGCCACCCGGAGAACCTGATTTCCACCTTACGGGTCTTCAGGAAAGGAAGTAGATGTTATTTACACGACAGAGCTGGCAAGCTTACTCATTCTGAATCATTTTCTTCCGAGCGCTCAGGAAGCCGTCCTTTATAGATTCAGATGCTGCTGCTTGACGTGGAGAACATTCTTCCGGCTTATTAGGAATACCCTTGCCCCAGCTTCCCCGTCCCCTCCCCGCGCCCCAGCAACGTGCATTCCGCAGTGCTCGTTTGAGTCGTGGTAGATGCTGTCTTCCTCTGTTTCTGGGTGTCTGTGAGGCCTCTGATGAGGGGGGCCAGCTGCGCTCACCTGCACAGAGCCTTGTGTGTGGTAGCATTCCAGAATATGCATCATTACTGATAAAGTTCGTTTGGTCTCGCGACTCCCATGCCTGGTACTGCTGGGCCTCTAATCAGCCCAGTCTTGGAATATATCTGTAGCAGCCAACACTTAGATTGTCCATTCGGTAGAGACTGTCCCAGAGCCTGGGCACAAAGCAGCGAACAAAACCGTCAAAACCCCTTTCCTCATGGAACTTCTGCTCCAGTGCAGAGAGTAACCATCAACAGAGCAAAGAGGTAGACTACCACTCACGGTGTGTGTCAGATGGTGAGAACAGGGAGGGGGCTGGGAGGGGCTTGCGCTTTTAAATCAGGGCCACAGGGAGGGCCCCACTGAGAAGGAGACCACTGAGCCAAGACTAGAAGGAGGTGCGGCAACAGGTGCACAGGTATCTGGGGAGCATCCTGGATTGTTTGAGAAGGAACAGGGCATGGAGGGAGGGAGAGGAGGTTGGAGGGGACAGAGCAGTGGGAGAGTGTGGGCTCCTCTAAGGACTTTGACTTTTCCTGGGAGGTGGGAAACCTTTGAAGGGTTCTGAGCAGAGCAGGTGGTCTGGTTGTATTTTAATCTGCTCCCCCCTGGGCTCCCCCTGGCTGCTGTTTTGAGCACAGACTGAGGGAGGGGGCAGGGGGTGGAAGCAGAGCCAGGCTGAGGAGGCTAGAGGGCACTTAACCTGCTACACATTTGACTTCTTATACTTCTCCAACCTCATTTCCATCATGCCTGGTGAAATATTAGGAAATGCTCCTGGAAAAAAGGCAGTGAAAATGTTTTTCAGCTACAAAGTAGGTGTTGCCTCCCTATCTGTCTATGAGGAAACTATAACATTGCCCACGTAGGGGTGAGTGAACGGAGACTCAACAGTCATGGTCACTCCAATGAAAACTGATCCTCTGGTTCCTTTCCTTCCCTTCCTTTGGGCTGCTTCTCTCTGTCTTGCTCCCCAGCTCCTTGTCGTAGCCGGTCTTTGCCGACCCTCCTGGGAATCACAGTAGTGTGGGCCGAGTGCTATACTGGGGTGCCATACTTTGGTCTGTGTTGTCCTTTTCTCCCCTGAGACTGGGCAGGGGCAGAAACATGCCTCCAGGACTCTGCGAGTCCCCGTGGGTACGGTTGGAGGGATGCTGCTCTGGTGGGACTTGGCAGGCTCATCAGCCAGACTGGCCTCCACGGTGGGTTCAGACCCACCCTTGTGCCTCTGGTCATGAGGCTGTGGGGTTCTTCCTTCCACCTTCAAAGCCTGCCTTTCCTGCCTTCTAACGGAGGGGCTGGGCAAGACTGCAGCGGAGGGTATGATGGAGGGACATGGGAAAATAAAAGGAACAAGGCTGCCAAAGAGGCAGAGGCAGCTCCTGGGCTGGGGGGGGGTGGCCTAGAATGCCATGCTGATGAGTTTGGACGTGGTCTGAGGGTAAGGTTGGCAAGGACATGGTCAGAGCTGTGCTTGGGAAAGATCACTGACAGGTGCGTGTGGCGAATGGATCCTGGGAGGGCAGTCTTGCAGGTGGGCACACTACCGAGAGGACTCATGTCCGTGTCCAGACGAGGAGAGCTAGGGCCCTTGGCTGCTCAGCTGCAGTGGGAATGGAAAAGAAATGACAGTTAACTCGAGGTGCTCAGCAGGTTAAGCTGATGGGGTATGGCCAGATTTGGTCCTCCAGGGGAAGGAAGTGGCCATCTCTAGCAGGAGATGGAATCCTAGAAGTGGCACAGACTTGGAAAAGAACTATTGTGCACCCCCACTGTGCAGAAGGAACATCTACTTGTATGCAATTCTGTGCAGTTAGAATATATTCTCCCCACCCCGCCCTGCTAAGCCATGAGCCTCCCTAAACCCGCAGCATCTGTCACAATGCATGGTGGACTCGATACATCTGTTGATTTGTTGATGAGACATTTATGACCCGGAGAGTAAGACATTGTCCTGGTTTATTGAGTGAATAAATGAGCCCTAAGCTTAGCCTGAGCTCCATTTCCTCCATAAATTTTCTTCTGTCTACTTCAGCATTCTCCAATCTTGACATCAGTACCCCAGATTAACACTTAGTCTACACATATTTCAAGCATGATCACCTTTTCTTTCTCAAAACTAGATCATAGATCCCTTGAGGCCCAAAGCACCCCCATTACTCCTAGCCAATGCTGGAAAATGAAACGAGACCTTAAAGTAATGACACTGACTCTTCAGAGCTCTTTAAGAAAGTGTATCTGATACTTAAACTTTCTGGGCCTTTGTTTTCTTATCAGAAAGAAGAGGGATTTGGATGAGCTGGAAGAACAAGGATTTCATTCACATGGCCAGCTCCCCATTATAGATAGTGGACTGTCTGGCAGGATATGTTTGTTGAGAAGGAATTGGAAACAGAAGTTCTGGAATTGATTACTGATGTCTGCCAAGGGCTTGGGAACAGAGAGTAGGGGCATGTGTGCTGTATACTCAGTTGGCCCTGGGTTAGAAAATCTCTGCGGTTCCTTCTACCTTTAGTCCTTTTGCTCAGGGATGATGTCATCGTCATTCCTCAGTTTATTGCTAGGAACTCCTCCATGGGACACTAAGCAAGTGATAAAGGAATTACAGGAGGATGACACGATCTTGATGCTGAGTCAGTTGTAAACCTCCAGGACTTGAGTTTAATAGTGGAAACTATAAAAATAAATAAATAATGTGATTTATTTGTTCCATGTCAGCTTTAGATTATTCAGGAATATGAGGTCTAATAAACTTACGTTGTTTCTCTATATGTATACATATCTTGCATGTGTCTGATAAGTACTTTAGAGAATAGGTCCTTTGATTGGCGTGGCCCAAGTTCCACATATTAAAGAATTAGAAAAAGAATTTGGGGCTTTGAATGTCCCTCCCTGATCCTTTCATTTTTTAAACCAAATCAGAACCAAGCAGATGTGGGGACTCACTAAAATTCTGAGTTTGGGTTGTTCTGTGCATGGTATATACACCTCGAGCCTATCAAACCAAAACCCCACATAAAGCTATATGAACCCAAACTGATAAAATAAATCTTTTGAAAAATTATCACAGATGTTAGACTCTGCCCCGCACCTTATGTTGCATACATGTTCTTAACGCCATCTATTGGGAGGAATTTGAAGGTAAATTGAGGAAGAACAGAGAAGGGCCAGAGAAGGTGTGTGTGTGGGGGGGGGGGGTGTGTATGTACCTGTCTGTCTGTCTATTCAGTTTAATAGTCAGAAAAGAGAACATTAGGGACACCCAGGTGGTGCAGACAGTTAAGCATCCGACTCTTGATTTCAGCTCAGGTCATGATTGCAGGGTCCTGGGATCGAGCCCCACATTGGGCTCTGCCCTCAACAGGGAGTCTGCTTGGGATTCTCTCCCTCTCCCTCTGCCCCTCCCTCCTGTTGGTGCGCTCTCTCTCTCTCTCTGTCTCTGCCTAAAATCAATCAGTCAATCTTAAAAAAAAAAAAAAAGATTGTTCATAGCTACTCAATATCTTGTTAGATGTTGCTTAATGTGACACATTGGATTTTTTTCTTTACAATATACAAAAAGAAAAAAAAACCCTGTAAGATCAAAGTTATCTACCTGTCAAAAATTTGAGCAGCAAGCAATAAAGGAAACTTCAAATGAAGATATATGTTGTAGAAAATTACCATGAGCCAGATGAGGCTCTGGTAGAGCTCCCGTAGTAGCTCAGACAGCGAAACCCCCCGCTAGGTCAGACAGGACGTGCTTACCTGGGACGGGGAATTCAAGAGAGAGCATATGCGTGCTCATGCGAGCGCTTGCTTGTGAAGAGAGAAAGCTTTCCACATTAATTACTTGTGAGAAAGTGTGATTACCTGTCACAGAGCTGAGCCTCCCAGTAACTGTCCTGTGGGGACTAGCAACACGCTGGCCGGGTGCCAGGGAAGCGCAGTTTGCCGGAGGAGCTGCAGATCCGCCCCCCCCCCCCCCCCCCCCAGACACCCCCACACACACACCCTGTCTTTGGTGCTGGAGATCCAGAGTCATGTATGCTGTGAGGACCAGCACTCTCGAAGCAAACGAACTCATTTTCAGTGACACCAAGCGGCCCATTTAAACCCCCCCGAAGCAGTGCATTAACGTAGCAGGTGTTTTCAGGGGCCTTTCCTATTTAGAATGTTAAACATACATCTAATAGAGAATATCAGAGACAGTGACTATTAAGCCAATAATTCACTTCGGAGCCGTTGTTCGACTCAGTGGCTAGAT